GGAGGGGAGGGCTGCGGTGACCAGGAGAGGCGGGGACAGTTTCCGGCCTGATTGATCCCTTTAATTTAGAGAGCACGGCGGTCGGGTTGGGGGTGAGCGAGCGGCAGCAGTTGGGGGGTGAGGGTGCCAAGAAGAACCCCGTTTGACAACCCTCCTCGCGGATAGCGGCTCGCCCGCCAGCCTCGGGCTCGGGACGGGCCCGGTCTCCTCCCTGCGCTCTGCCCTTTTTGCTTGGCTGCCTGTGCAGAAGTGCCCTTATCTTAGAAATGTGTACGTTTATTAAATGTTTTGCCTGACACGACGGAACAGATGTGTTTGTCTCGGCACGTTGAAATTACTTGGAAGGAGAAACTTAGAAAGAAGTTTCTGGTCATGCCAAAGAGTCTCGCTAGTTTGGGAATGACATTTATGTGTTAATAATGTAATATCTGTAGATATGCTGAGTACATGTTGATGAAAATTGTACTTTTTCTTTTTTCTTTTTTTTTTTTACTAGAGAGCTGTTGTGCGTATGGATGAACGCAGGGAAGAGCAAATTGTGCAGCTGTTGAATACTGTCCAAACTAAAAACGAAAAGGAGCAAGAAGCCATGTCCTGGTGGTCTGGGGATGAAGAAGGGTAAGAAGAAACAATTACTAATGCTTTTATTTACTTTGAATTGAACAAACTTCCCACAAACTGGTAGGAGGATGTTTCAGAAAATATTTACATTTAGTGGGTGAATTATACAAATATACTTGGTTTTCTCTACACGTATTTCATACTGAAACAGTTGGTTGTAACTGTTGCTTTAAAACTCTTTTCCAGATTATTGTTGAGTTTGGGGTGTTAAATTTTTACTTAAAATCATAAAACCCTGTAATTGATCTCCAGGCCTACTAGAGCAGATACATGGAATTTTTCAGCTCCCCTGGCCTCTGGAATTACTCTTCCAGAGTGGCATTTGACTTCATTTTTCAGTTATTGTACAGTCTTGGAATGTTTTATTGGCCTCTGTGAAATAGAGTCCATTCCTAACACTTAAAGGATTTTAAATAATAGCAGTGAAATGGGCAGCCAGGTGTGTTTCTCTGAGGCCACTGAAATGAGGTGTTTGGGTCTCTGTTTGGCTGAATGATCCAGTTACAGGGCAGTGGTTCTGACAGCGGGTTAAGCAGTAATTCTCTGGAGATGTTTTGTTGCTTTCTTGGCTTTGTTTTGATACAAAAGAACATGTTACGTTTCTAAACACTGATGTAAAATTTTTCATGGCTGGTAATTTTCAGACTTAAATTGTTTTAATGGCATACGCCATATTCTCATCAGCTGATGGTCAAATAACTCGTGGATGTAGTGTCTCAAAAACAGATTTAAGGTTTGCCTTGAATGGTTCAGTGTACTCTTCACAGTGGCCATCTCTCCACAGTTATCCATCTCGGATAATCTTTGAAGCTTCTGTTCTCCACTTATTTCAGACCTACTCCAGGACAGCCTGCAAAAGTGAAACCAGATGCTGAAAAAGCTCCTGTAAGACAGAGACCAGTCTTGGAAAAAACATTTCTTGATCGGGATGTGGAATATCTCTTTGAAAAAAATGAGCAGGATACTGATTTAGATGAGCAACTTAAAGAAGACTTAAGAAAGAAGAAATCTGATCCTAGATATATTGAAATGCAGGTACTTTTCCATGTGTTAAGTAGACAGCTTTTGATTGGATTTTTTTTTTTAATTAAAATAATTGGAAAATGTAATGTCTTGCAATTTATTTACTAAGAAGTTGTTATAGTGTTACTTTGGCTAAAAATTACCTTCAGAATTTGCAAAATGCATACCTCTCAATAGGACAGCGACTAAAAAACAGGCTTTCAGTGACAATTTCTGATTGCATAAAATCTAAAATTTTAAGCTTACACATTGTTGGGTGGGGTTTTCTGTTTGTTTTTTAATGGGTTGTATCCCTGCATTTGTGTCTAAAACTGAAAGCACAAAAATGGGCTCTGAAGGAATTGCCTCTTAAAAACGTAGTTTATGTTGTTCTAATAGCCGTATATAAAGTTGTCAAATAAAACAGTCTTGCCATGAACAGGCGGTTCTCCCTTTGATACAAGGCCCTAGTCTTGTAACTGTACATACATACCTCTTCATGTACTGAACTGTTGGTTTTAAATAATTTTGCTAGATTTAATGAAACTGAAAACATGCATGGAATTAAACTTATTTTAATGAGCCTGTATTTATATAAGTATTAGTCAAACACTTTGTCATGTTATTTCACAGTTTAGCCTAGATCATAGATGAAATCTGTTGTATTACTTCAGTGTTGAAAAGGTGTTTAAAGATATGTACTGTTGTTTTCTTTTTCCCCAGAGATTCCGAGAGAAACTCCCTTCATATGGGATGAGACAGGTAAATGTGTATCTAATTTGAAAGAATATGTGCTCCTATTGCTCTGTTGTAAAATAGGAGAAAACAGTTGGGTAACTGGGACTAACAGGAAACCGTTGTTGCCTTTTTATGAAGGTGCTGAAGCCTCCCAAGTTCTGACACTGGGTTTGACTTCTTTCCAGAAAGTAGCTCAAGTTCACTGCTTCATGATATGTATGAAGTTACTCTGGGGCTATATACAGTTTTATCAGTAGGGGCAGCATTATCCATGGAAATGGTACTGAATGCTAGATACATTTAAGTACTTTTTTTTTTTTTTAAAGTATAGTTTTTTTCTTCTTTCGCTGCCAGCTAAACTTCTAGAATGTTCCTAGTTACTTTGATTTTGTATAGAGTAATTGACCACTACGTAAATTGTCGTGCTTGCTTTTTCTTATATATGTGTGAAATTGTGGCCATTTGTTGAACATTTGCCCAACTTAGAATTGAATATAATGCCGATTAAACCTTTTTTAATCACAGACTTAATAGCTGTACTGCTGGCTCTTACTGCTATTAGGTTCCCAGTCAAAGTGTAACGTCAGTGATAGCATGGGTTATTATTAATTGACCTTAATTCTTCATTTGATGTCACCTGTATGAAATAGAAATTGAGTATTCTGTTATGTTTTCTTTTGCAGGTTCAATGAATGATTAATGAGCTTCCTTTCTAAAGTTAATGTATTTGTGATAATGTGGTCTTTCCTGTTAGTGTTTGTTTCTTAAAATAGTTATACTCCCCTTTACAGTCCTTTGGATTGGGAGGTAGAGGCTGGGAGTGTAAGAAATCTGTTCCTGTCAGTATAAGAAATGTTAAAACATTGTGCTGAAAATCTTCAGTTAGTACAGTCTTGGAGTCCAACAGGGAAAATGCTTGTTTTCAGTCACCAAAGATACACAGAAGGCAAGTAGGAGGGAGAAAAGTTTAAAAATGTATTTCAGGCTTTCATTTTAGTTATTTTATGTTGTTTTCATACAGGATCTTAAGTATTTAAAACTAGTTTTGAGATTTAGTATGCTTTAAACCTTACACATGTGAAGTGCAAATGTGCAGAAATTACTTCTGTGTGGTTTAAACGAAACCTTTTTTTTTTTTTTAGTATTACAAGAAACAGATGAGTATCTGTTTTCTTAAGTTGCTATGACACTTTCTTCTAAGTTCACCACACAGTAGCATTGTCAAAATCCTTCTAAAATCTGTTTTGAACAATAATACAATAAATGTTTTCTCTTTGTTGGGAAATAGGAACTTGTAAACCTTATAAACAATAATCGAGTAACTGTGATAAGTGGTGAAACTGGTTGTGGCAAGACAACCCAAGTTACACAGTTCATCTTGGATGATTACATAGAGCGAGGGAAAGGGTCTACATGCAGGATTGTTTGTACTCAGCCTAGGAGGATCAGTGCTATCTCGGTAAGTGCCATTTTGACAAACTGAGTAACTTGTGCTTATTTTTTTTTCTCCCAATAAATCTGAGGAAAAATTACTGCTTTACTCAGAATCATTGAATGAAAATATATTTCTTACTGGGCCTTGCATCCATGGGCAAGCTTATGAACTGAATGTACAATCTGCTAGATTATTTGAAGTTAAGATCTGAAAAAATTCCAAATGACCAGATAGGTACTGTGCACCTCTCAAAGAAACTGCTCAGCCTCACATGTACTCATGCTAAATTTAAAGCTCAAGGTAAGCATTCAGCCGGTAGTGGACAGTGAAGATAGCTTTTTGTGTGTTCGTTTTCAGTCATCTTCGATTCTATTGCAAATAACAATTTTGTTAATATACACTAATTTGATACTTCATAAGCTTTGGTTGTTAATAGAGTACTGGCACTGCAAGCTTCATTCTTCCCTGAATTTAATAATGGTTTATATCTGTGATTTTAATGGATTTGGGCAGTGCAAATGTGAATTAAGGTAAATACTAATGTTGTGTCAGGCACTGTAGAGGTATATTAATGAGCAAGAAAGAATTTGGCTTTTAAGTGCACAGTAATTACTCTTCTTGATAGTTAAGTGTCAAATGATTATAGAACCTTACTTCCTATGAGGAAAAGCTCACCCTGCTGAAAGGGTGAGTGTATTGCTAATGCCTAAATGGTTGTGTTCCTTTAAAATATGTTCTGGGTCACAAACCTGTTCTTGGGTTGCTGACAGGAAACACTGTTCTCGGTGGAGGAGAAAAAAGTGATTTTCAGGGTGTTTCTTTGTTCTTTACATAACATCTTGGTTCTAGGTATTTCCTGCTGATGAGTAACTAAATCATAGATCAGCCTTGTGGGATTTTTTTAAAGTTTTCTTTAATGCACTATTTTGATTTTATTTCTTTTTCTAAGGTGGCTGAGAGAGTTGCTGCTGAAAGGGCAGAAGCATGTGGTAATGGCAAGAGTACAGGATACCAAATTCGTCTACAGAGGTAAGAGAGGCTCCCTTGGCAGTTTTTGTGCATTCATGTAAAGTAGTATCTATTGTTATTCAAGCAAGAAAATTTGAAAAGTAGATCTTAACATAGATGACTGCTTTCATTCTGATATTTTCTCCCAAAGGAATTCCTGTGAATAGCTGGTGTAGGGAAATAAAGTTTTTGAAATTTAGCAGAAGTTTGAGTGCGATTGTTGTATTTTATGCAGCGTGTAACAATGGCTAGCACCCAGTTGTAATTTGTCTAGTAAGTCCTTTTTTCAGCTCTTCTAAAAGGTTCTGCTATAAAACTGATGTCCTTAATCCATGAATTTCAAGGAAAAATGGAAATGCTAAAGGAGAGAATGCTATAAGCCATATTTCTGTGTAAAACTATGTATTTGCTACACTTACCCATTGAGCAGTCCCACTGGGATCAGGTAATAAAGTTAAGTGCATTGACAAGAGTTCGTAGACCTAGTGCCATAGAGCAAAAGCTATTACATTTGGAGTCATGGGTAATTTAGAAAAAAATCTGAAATGTTACCAGCAAATAATGGAATCTCAATTGTCATTGAAGAAAAACTGCTGGTGAGAGATGACAGTTTAGTCGTTTCAGCATTTTAATTTGACTTTATAGAATCTCATTTATGTTTTTCTTTACTATTTAATCAAGAATATTATACTGCTGTATATTTAGCTGTCATCTGTGCTGAGCTTAGATAGCTGCAAGAATTTGGGGTCAGCAGATCAATGTGCAAATGATGAAAAATGATGTCCAGGAAATCAGGGCTTCTGTCAGATTCTGTTCATTTCCCATCGACAAAAGTGCTGCAACTGTGGCCTAATTCCTTGTTCCTCCAAATGAACTGTAAGTGAGCAAGTTAGAGCATGAGGCATACTTCACAATGTCTATAATGACTATCTGCATTTTGATTTTAAGTTTTTAAAGTACTTTGTAAAATACAGAAGAGAACTGAGGAATTCTTAATGTATCTTTCAGTCGGTTACCAAGGAAACAAGGTTCAATTTTATACTGTACCACAGGAATTGTCCTACAGTGGCTCCAGTCAGATAAGTAAGTTTTCCTATTTAATAACAAACAATACAATTATGAAATTACTTGACTACTGAGCTGTTTCTAACAGTCTCGGCTGTTTTTTAATTTTGCTAAAAACAAAATTTTAACTTCCTGCTCTTCTATTTTAGGCACTTGTCCAGCATTAGTCATGTAGTCCTTGATGAAATTCATGAAAGAAATCTTCAGTCAGATGTTTTGATGAGCATTATTAAAGATCTTTTGAATATTCGTTTGTCTCTGAAAGTAATACTAATGAGTGCTACTTTAAATGCAGAGAAGTTTTCGGAGTATTTTGGTGGGTGAAATGCTTCCTATGAATGCTCCTCTTAAGTAATTTAGGCTTCTACAGTATAATGCAGTTCTCAAATTTTAGGATTGATTTTTATCAAAAGAGGTAATGACTTCAATTTTACAAATAGTTGCCGGCTGCTGGAGATGCTTATTCCCTTAGTTTTATCTTGTCGTGAGCATATGTTGCTTCTGTATTTGCTTTTCAGACATATCGTGGAAACAGTATCTCCAGAGTGTTTTCATATTAAATATTTACTAATATTTACCATATTTTAGAAGTCTTGGTGTGAGTGGGCAACAAGATTGAAGCCTTTAGTTGTTCAGTCTTCCAGCTTTATCCTGTAGCTGGAACCAGATGAACATGCTGGAGAACAATATACTGCTTGCTACCTATACTTTTTTTTATTCAGCAACTTTATTTGGAATTTAATTTGGCATCTTTTGTGAGAATTTAAAAATAAACAAACAGAAAGACCCTATAGACTTGGCAACTATATTGCAAAAACAGTGTAAAAAGGTTTATTGCCTCTATTAGTACAGTATTTTATTTGCTGTCTAAAAACTGAGTTATGCCTTCCTCAACAGATAATTGTCCAATGATTCACATACCTGGGTTCACTTTCCCTGTGGTGGAATACCTTCTTGAAGATGTAATTGAGAAGTTGAGGTAAGCGTATTTTCTGAACACCATTATAGACAGTATTTTGGGTTTTTTTGCTTAGTATGTCTCTTCAAAGATTACCTTGGTATAAATAACCTGTGGAAGAAAAAGCTGGGTTTTTAAACAGAAAACATTTCAAGGGAAGTTCAGTAGCTTTTACAGTAATTAAAAATGGCACATAGCTACCTGGAAATGTTGGCTTAAGGAGGAAAAAAAAAATTGTCTGTCTTTCAGTGTGGTGAATTTTCAGGCTATTAAATCAAGCTAGTCTTTCTGTTTGTTCAGACTTTTTTTTCCTACATGTTATCATGCTTACTAGAGATGGTACCTGTTTTTATAAGTAAGATTTCTTTCAGAAAAGAAATTTAAGAATCTTATTTACATGGTATAGCTAAAGTGCAGCATATTGTCCATATTGGAAAACTACTATGCAGCTGGCTTTAAATTACTTTCATTTCAAAATTTAATTATGTTTGTTATTTAAATTTAAAGGTATACTCCAGAAAACACAGACCGTCGGCCACGGTGGAAGAAAGGCTTCATGCAAGGACATGTAAGCAGACCAGAAAAAGAAGAAAAAGAGGAAGTCTACAGGGAACGATGGCCAGACTACTTAAGGCAGCTGCGTGGCAGGTTGTTCTAAGTCATTCTTTTGCATTAAGTTTTTAGACACTTCTTAACTGAGAAACATAAATTAGTGCTGTATTCTGTTACTGTGCTTTTATTAATGATGCGATAGTTGCTACTGTGGAAAACAATAATGATGGAATTGCCAGTACAGTTGGCTGGCAACCACTGAAGTGCTTTAGAATTATCATAGAGAATTCGCTTCCTTTGCATGTACAAACTGTAAGAGAACTTATAGCTGTCGAGTCGCTTGCTATTGATGTTGGTATTGTCCATTACAGTCTTCAGCATAATGTTAGGCTTCTTGAGCTTTGGTCATTAGTTCTCTTCTGATGAATTCTTCCTTTCTTCAGTCTTTCTTTGAGAGAGATCTCACAGCATTTTAGTTTCATAATCAATATAATACAAAATGTGCTCGTTTAAAAAAAAAAAAACCAACAAACCAAACAAAAAACAAAACCCAAACCCAGCAAAACAAAAAAAAACACACCACAACCTTTTCCTCAGAATATTTTAATATTCCTCTAGAATGGTTTAAAACCAAGCTAAATAATTTTGCCTCTTGAGCATCTAGTAGAGATTGTCCACTTGAAACATTCTTTTGATTGCCAGCATTTGACTACTTTGGTAATCTGGATAAGTTGATTAATTGGATAGCCTGGCTGATTTATTTCAGGAACAGCATCTTCCTGTTTTTTTTCTCCTGTCTTATTTGTTCTCTGCATTTTGGGACTTTCTATATATCCAACTTGGTAACAATAATGAATATAGGTGGCTCAGTTTTATCTCCCTTTTCTAAGGGAAAAGTCCTCAATGCTGTATCTCTGTCTGGCCTATCCCATGCTTATCCCATTTGTACTCCTTCACTTTCCCACCTTGTCTTTTGAATCAATTGGCAATTCTTTCCATAGTGTTAGCTTTTGTGAAATCAAAGGGCTGAACAGATGGGATGCCTCCTGTACTCACTGTAGTGAGTGAGAGAGAAATTGAAGCGTAAACTCGGATCGTTTAGGTCCTAGGTAATCCATGAGGAGGTGAGAGATCATGTAAATGCTTCAAATGCAGTTCAGTCATAACATGGTAATTCTTAAACTTACTATTCTAAACTGACAATAATCGCACTAAACTAAATCTCGAGAGTACATTGGAGGTACAGTAATTGAACAGACAAATAAATTGAACAGTAGTGGGTTACGTAGATGTGTGATTGCAGAGCCTTGTAACTGAAACATGAGCACGTAACTTTGTATGTTGGTAAGTTACCAGTATGTATGCTTTCAATGCCTGTAGGTATTCAGCAAGTACTATAGATGCCTTGGAAATGATGGATGATGACAAGGTCGACCTTGACCTTATAGCAGCACTTATCAGACACATCGTTTTGGAAGAAGAGGTACACTTCTGTCTCTTATCATCACATTTTAATGATGTGACTGAATTGTGGTCAGTGGCTGTTGGGAATGTCAGAGCTGATAGTTAGCTTGACTTATCATGCAGATATAAAGAAGAATTTTTTTGTTTTGCTCTTCTGAGAAGTAACCTCATGGCTTTAAATATCTAATTACTATTTAAGCCCTGAATTTAGAACGTGGTTAGTTTCAGTGTTTATTGAAATGATGGGATAGAATCCATGTTTAAAGGGGAGCATACAGCTAAGTATTTTCTTGAATAGAGGTTGTGGGTTTTAATGAGAGCTATGTACATAAGAAACTTGGAAAACTTACAAATACATCTGATATGCTCATTTATGGTCCCTTCTGAGCAAGGGATAAAAAAGCCTGAATTCTTTCACTGACAGTAGGGATTGTCTTGTAAATAAAACAGGATAGGTATCTGAAGGTTTGGGTGCCATTTTGATTCAGATTGCTGCATTTTTTCCCTTCAAATTAATTATACACCTTAGTTATTTGATGGAAAGTAAGATAATTACAAATTAAATTTTAACTTTCAGTTCTTTCTGTGACTCTGTGTGTTTGTCAAAGGCAGTATTCCTTGTAGTCTGTAGTAAAAGTTACATTTTGTGAAATAGCTGTAGAAAACTGTCTGAAAACCTCTTTAGTGTACAACTAAATCTCCCAGCAATGGGAGGGAGAGGGCAAGAGCAATACTTAGAGTTGATGTTCACTGCCTCATGTCTTCACTGTGCAGTTGGCTTTAATGGTTTTCCTGCCTGAGTAATCTAAATGACTTCGATGCTGTGAAGACTGAATTTTTATACAGCCTAGCAAAAGTCTAGTCACATTTACCAAACACACAGCTAGGAGACTCTTCCAACTTTCAGCTTGTCAAGATTAGTAGTTAATACAGCTGCATTAATAGTTATTCCCAAATGTGCCTTACCCTGTTATTTAGTAATAACATCATCAGAATATTAATATCAGAAGGATCCTGTGCCTGAAGCAGTGACAAACATGAAGTAAGAATAACTTCTGTTACCATAGGTATAACGTATGTAGATTTTCATAACCTGAAGTTACATATTTGTTACTGTGTTCAAAAATGTCTGTGGACGAGCTGACACTTTGGCTGATTCCTTAAAGAGAATTTTGATTATTTAAAATATTAATATTTCAGTTGATAGATCATTTAAGCTGTGGATAATGAGGATGAGTTGCTGTTTCATATTTTGTTCTTCCTGTGTTGAAAATTATACATTAGTTTCTCTCTGTTTTATTTGCAGCTCAAATTCTTCTAGTGTTGACATGGCAGTGTTTAAAACACTGCAGGGGAAAAATGTTTAAAATCAAATTTTTATTTAGGTTCAGATAAATATATGTAGCTAACTCTTTTATGGAAAACAATCTTATAAACTTTGTTCCAAATTTGAGTCAATGAGTTTTCAAATATCACCTATCCAACATGTATGTATCAGTGTGCAAGTAGCTGGTTCTTTGCATAGCATTTAGTTTATTCTAACCTCTTTTCCCTTCACTCCCTCTTTTATATATAGGATGGTGCAATTCTAGTGTTTCTTCCAGGCTGGGACAACATTAGCACTTTGCATGATCTCTTGATGTCACAAGTCATGTTTAAGTCAGGTAAAAACAAAGTTTTACATGGGAATTCTAGCAGTAGTGTTAGTGGCAAATTCTTAATTTTTGCATGTGATTGCTGGTATTGCACTGGATATTTTTTTTTCCCCCGTCTCTCCTCTCAAAATGATTGCAGTGTGTTCAGCATTTTTTGCATTTCTGTGGTATCTTTCATCTGCTAATGATAACTCATTTTCCTCAGTGTAGGAGTGAACAATCTGAAAAAGCATCTCAGACCTGCATCTTTTTCCTTTTGTTCTTTCCTGTAGCTATGATAACTTCCATCCAAAACTAAACTCTTTCTTCATTCTGTGTTCATTTCCTCTTTTCTTGATTCTTCAGCAGCTTCTGTCACTGCTTTGCTGATAGTTCTTTTAAATCCTATTTATTCCTAAAAGCTTTTTTAATAGGACACTAAAATACCCTACGCCTGTCTGATATGCTTTAATGTCCTGTTTGCATAACTCATATTTTCATCTAACTTGTCTAACTATGCTCTTGACTATTCAGATAGTTGTCTTACAGTTCATGTTGTGTACATTCTATAGATAAAGAATTTCAGTTTATTGAAAGATTGAGTGTCAGTTTATTTATTAAACTTGAGCAATTATTAAATAATTTGAGAATTTAAAAATGAAATATAAATTACCGTACATAACTTCATATATTTTCTTAAACTTGTCAAGTCATCATAGCATAATAAAAAAAGATCCTTATACCTTTTTAATGTAGAATTTGCCATTATGATACATATACCTGTGAATTCAGAATAAGAAACAGTAGACTTACTTGCAGCATATTTTCTCTATGCTGCATAGTTGATTTTCCTGTAAAATTAAAGTTTCTGTGCTTACACCATATCTCTTACTGATTTTTAATTTTCAGATAGGTTTATTATCATACCTTTACATTCATTGATGCCTACTGTTAACCAGACTCAGGTATGCTTTTCTTTTATTGTAATATTTCACAACTACAAAAATTAATTAAGCATATGTTTGGTTTTGGCAAACATATAAATGGGCCATGGATAATTACAGGTTTTTAAGAAGACCCCGCCAGGAGTAAGGAAAATCGTGATTGCTACCAACATTGCAGAGACTAGGTAAATAGCTAGCTATACAGACCAAAAAAAGCTATACGTTTTATAAAATAAACAAAAGTGGTAATCCAAAGTATAAACCTGTTTAATATTTCTAAAATATGTTTTTGTATTTGTACCATTCATTTATAACACTTTATCTTCAGAAATGTTTATAGACTAAACAGGCGTTTTCCTTTAATTGTTTTAAACAATTAAAACGTGAATGTTGCTATAAAGGCTTGCCTTTGTTGTACATGATAAATCTGAGCTGCCTGTCCTCTCTGCAGACTTCATAACTCCATGTGATGACTTTGCCAGACCTAGGAGAATAAATCAAGCTGTTTCTTGAACTGCTTAGTAACGTAATCCTTAATGAAATGCCAAACACAAATTTTTTTTATTGTTGGCTCACGGTTTGGGAGGGGGTAAAGAGAGGCTAAACCTCTTTAAAATCCTAGGGCAAGCTTGCAAAGATGAAGAGTTGCATTTTTTTTTTTCTCTCTTCTTTTAAACAGCATTACAATAGATGACGTAGTGTTCGTTATAGATGGTGGAAAAATAAAGGAAACTCACTTTGACACACAGAACAACATTAGCACAATGGCAGCAGAGTGGGTTAGTAAAGCTAATGCCAAGCAGAGGAAAGGTCGAGCAGGAAGGTAAGAATAATGGGGATAGTTAGAAAAGTTTTGTGATGATAAGTTTCCATCAGTCTTGGAGCACATGGTGCTGAAGATACTACTTTGTTATTCGTATGTTCAGAAGTAGATGCTAGCACAACTGTCTCTTGTTCTTAGGGAAAGAATGGTTTCTTTGTCTTTCTAGGAAACTGACTTGTGCTGTGTTTAACTCATGAGTTTCCCTCCTTACAGAAGAATAAGTCCAGCATTTTTTTTAAATTTTTGTTGGTAGCGTTTACCTTCACACCTAATTTATGAGACTATGATACGTTAAAGTGAAAATTGCCTACAAATTAGTATCACTTAGCTATATACCAAATTTTTTTGAAATTTCTCTCCCTCTCAAAATACCTTGTGGAATATTTTCTCTCTTTTTCAGACTTAGAGTTCTTCTCTGGTCTCTTCATTACTCCTTTTAAGCAGTTGATAGGAGGTTTCTGTGTCCTGCATGCCTTTTTTCCTGTTGATGGGTCTGTGTTTCAGAAAGCTGAAATGGCTTTTATAATTGAATACGTTTCAGTTCTAATTCCTTGAGGTGTTTTGGAAAGCTGTTTATAAACAAACACAATCATCATGTCACAGTGTCGTAGGGGGGAAAAAAACCCCAATTGTTTATTTAAATAATTCCAGAGTTCAGCCAGGCCACTGTTACCATCTATACAACGGACTACGTGCCAGCCTTCTAGATGATTATCAGTTACCAGAGATCTTGAGGACACCTTTGGAAGAACTCTGTTTACAAATCAAGGTAAACATATGAATCTTCAAACATATTTATTATTTACTTTTCCATTGGAATAAGAAGTTGAGAGATTAAGTTAATGCAACTGTGAGCCTAGGGTTGTCTTCAAGTCAAAATTCTGTTACACCAGAAATACGATACATTTAGCTAATGATTGCAGCAACTTTTGCAAAATGCATACTTGTATCTAGAAGTACCAAACCCAGGAAAATAGGATTGTCTAGTATAAATAAAAGCTGAAGTCTACTAACAAAAATTTGGACTGTGCTTCCCCCCCCCTTCCCAAATACCATTCAATCAGAGGAGCTTCAGTGAGAATGCCAGTGAGTCAAGGAATATGATGTCTTAAAAGAATTTTGCTAAAAAGTAGTTTTAGAACTGACGTGGGTTTCCTTTTTGGCAGTTTGTATTGAATTCCTTGTGCATGCATAAGGAATACCATGTGTATGCATACTGAATGAAGAATAGATCCTTATGTTTCAAATTTCATCATCAATACATTTTTAATTTTGACCTTAGTTCTTCATTAGTGAAATTCTAACTCAAGCTGTGAATTACTTCACACTTTTTTAATTAGTGTGGTTACTGCTTTCTAGGTTTAGGTAGCCATCTTTCTCCAGTTGCTGCAGGTTTTTGTTTTGGTTTGGTTTTTTTCTTTCAGATTCTAAAGCTTGGTGGAATTGCTTATTTTCTGAGCAAGCTAATGGATCCACCCTCTCGTGATGCTGTAATGTTGGCCATAAATCATCTAATGGAGCTGGTAAAGTATTGCTTAATGTACATGCAAGGAAAAATCTGTTTAGGACCATGTTACTACGTTGTTATCAGACAGTTCTGATTGTACAAGTCTAGACATTTGCAACCCCTTATCATATTGTGTAGACCCTTTATATATCTTCACTGAACAGAGGAAATAATTTCCCATTATGTTTATGGGCTGCATAGAGTAACTCGTGAGTTTCTAAATGACTCAAAACATATACATGCACCTCGTATTTCAGTTCCCTACAGATACTTATTTAACTCACTGCTTCTGTAACACCCTGCTCATGGCTGCATCCACCAAGTCTTCCTATCCCAGTCACATTAGTGAAGAGTTTGTGTTACTTTTTCTGTGGGCAAAGAAGGCATATAGGAGAAAGATCTTGTACGTCATTGCCCTTTTGGATGCTGGGGAAGGAGAAATTAATGACACATTTGTACTACTGACTTCTTGCCCTGGTATTATTTGTACAAATCCATTGTAGCAATAAATTGAAACATCTGATTTAGATGAAGGGCACTATTTAGTCTGATGGCATGATTCTATAAATGTTTAGATAAAATTCAGCCGTACATTTGGCGTTCTGTGACAATGCTGTATAGTAGCAAAGGGTAGAGTAAATAAAAACAGAAGTGATATTGAGGGTAAAGATACAAGTCTAAAAATAAGCTTGATCAGGAGAATAGGAAGACAATTCTTCATGCTTTCGTCCAGAAAGAACTGAGCCCTAGTAAACCACTTGAAACACCATTAAAGACGGTTGCTGTTTTCTTGGATCTAACTGAGCATTTCAATTTCTCCATAACTTGCTTGATCACTCTTCTACCATACCTTATTACAGCTAGCTGCATTCTCTGGCTATTAGGTTTTCCTTTGTTCTGTAGGTATACTAGTGGCTATTTCAAGGAAATCCTCCCCATTTCAACTACTGTGTTTATTCTTTTTTGCTTTTTTTTCTTCTTGTGACAGAATGCTTTGGACAGACAAGAAGAACTGACTCCACTAGGTGTCCATTTAGCACGATTACCCGTTGAACCGCATATTGGAAAAATGATCCTCTTTGGAGCTTTATTCTGCTGCTTGGATCCAGTACTTACAATTGCAGCTAGCCTCAGCTTCAAAGACCCTTTTGTTATTCCTCTGGTAAAGTTTCTAAGAGGAGAATTACACAGAAGATTTTAAGAATCTCAGAAGGATATTGGGACTTACTGAGATGTTATAGTTTAAAAGCACGTTAATCTTATTTTCATGTTAATTACATTTTTATTAGTAAAAGATTGCCTGCACATACTATGAAGTATTGTCTTTGCCTACAGAATATCGGAAGTAGCTTTAATTTTCATGTATGTAGCATACAAAGTATTGCTGTATATATGTACCTTAATTAGGAAAAGAGAACTGGTGTGTCAGTCGTGAATATTTTATAGGCTCTAATTATTCTTAGGGCAAAGAGAAAGTAGCAGATGCAAGAAGAAAGGAACTGTCAAAGAACACTAAAAGTGATCATCTAACTGTGGTGAATGCTTTCACGGTAGGCATGTTTTAATGTGTTTTTTCTTCTAGAATTTTAATTTGAGTAATGTGGATTATTCTAAGGAAAAAACTGATCAGTTTATGTTCTGAAGTATTTCTTTCTTGGCTTCTACAGAAACATAAAACCAAATTAATTTTCACCCTTCTAATGTTGAGGAATCTTGTCTTCAGGCTCAATAACCTAATTTCTTGTGGATAAGTCTATGAAAGAGACAAAGGAAACATAATGTTATAGTTACCTTGCTGAAGTCATTAATTCTTGTCCTTCTGGCCTCTACAAGAGGCTGAAGCTGACTTCAGAAGTGTTGGAGATTTAGTTGTATAGTGTTGGGGCGAGAAGAAGAGGAAATAAATGGCCTGGAATGCCATTTCTACCCAGGACTGTTAATAGCAAGAAAGGAAGTTCTGGCAAACAGCTAGATTTCACTCCTCACCATGGAAAAATGAAGTTTTTGATTCAAAATGTTGTAAAGTTGTGTTTTTCTACTCTGTACTGCGTATATATAAACAAAGAGATCAAAGGATTTACGTTCTCTCTTGTAAGGAAAAATGTAACTATATTGTTTGTTGACCTCCAGTTTTTGCTGTCCTTACTTTTTTAGTATGTGCTCACTTACAAATGCCTTTGAACTACGGTTTTAATTTTTAGGGCTGGGAAGAGACTCGGCGTCGTGGTTTCAGAACTGAGAAAGACTATTGCTGGGAATATTTCCTATCTTCAAATACACTCCAGGTAACATCCTAGCAGTTTGAAAGAGAGGATCATGTCTGTGGGGAAAAGGGGAGGAGCCTTTTGGCACAGCATCATTCTGGGGCAATTTTTGTTGTTTCCTAGATGCTGCATAACATGAAAGGACAGTTTGCAGAGCATCTCCTTGCAGCTGGATTTGTGAATAGCAGAGACCCCAAGGATCCCAAATCTAATATCAACTCAGGTAAACGGTGGAAGGAAATGGAAAATTTCTGATAGCTGAAATCTCAGTTTGCAGAACTGCGTTATTTACTTTGCTGTCTTCTACAGATAATGAGAAGTTGCTCAAAGCGGTCATCTGTGCTGGTTTATATCCAAAAGTTGCAAAGATCCGGCCAAGCTTCAGCAAAAAGAGAAAAATGTAAGGGTTTGGTTTAATGTTGGTTTGTATTCGAGGTGTTTTCCACATTAGGTACTTTGGCAAGGTGAAGCAATGGCTTGAGTGCGTGAATGAATCTCTGTATAGCTCAATCATGGGTGTGGGTTACTTCATTTGAGAAAGGGTAGATGGGAGTAACTTGATTGTTGATCTTTACTTTGTTTAACACTTTGGATACCTGCTAGTCTGTGAAATAATTTGTGACCTTATCATGCCATGGATAATGTTACAATATATCAATAACACTGCTGCTAAAGGAGTACTACCATCATCTTTGAAACACTATCCATTCTTATTTCTTGGCAACATAGAGCCCAGAAATTCCAGTCTGTTGATTTATCACTACTTATATTATCAGACTGTTTATTCTTATTAACTGTTCTCACAGTAACAGTATACTCGTCAGAATATAGACATCCTTCTTTATGGACCTGATTTAAGACAGAATGAAGGGTTGAACATTTGGATTTATTTTTCTGGGTGTGTAATGTTGAAACAGCAAGCTAGGAGCAATCATTATGCCTATAACTAAAAAAAACAAGCAAAAAAAACCCCAAGTGATTATTTCTATGGATGGAGTAAGAATAGGTAGTCAAAATTCTACCTTAGATTGCATAATTTAGACCCGTCTATAGCTGACACTGCTAGTCAATTGATACTCCCTTTTAAACTGAGACCAGCGTGCTGGAGTCACCTAAATGCAGCAAGTTTGCAAACCTGATGCAAGTTACTGTGTCACTGTATCTTTGCCGCATGGTGGAGCTACGTGTAAGCCAGCTGCCCAGGAAGGTTCAATTTTATGATCCACTGAACAAGAGATTTGTTACGCTAACCACCTTGCTGGAGACGCTCTCCCACTCGCTGTTTCTGTTTGAAAACACTGAACTCCGTGTTTTGCAAAATACTTCTGCACACAGGGAGTAGAGAGCTCAGTGATCCACACCCAAAGAATTACATCTCTGAAATGTGGGAAGGAGGAGAACAGTTGTGCTGCATACATATTCTGCTTGGTTTCTGCTTTTTATTGTCTGACGGCATTATTATAAGGGAAATGTGATTTTGGGTAGTAAGTATAACCAAAGCAGTTGAACGTTATCCCTTGAGTCAAATTTGTTCAAAGGCACATGGTACAAATAGAGGTACACCGCTCCAGACTGGTTGACAGTGGTATAGCCAGTCCCTTGTTCCACACTGACACAGCTTAACGCTGAGCAAAGAATTCAGATAGGTAAGTTCCTTATGTGGTTTTTCCAAGAAATTGCTTGAAACTTGGTTTATGTAACCAAATTCAGTAACTCAGAGTCCTTCATTTGGAAAGAATGCCACTTGTTTTTTCTGCTTGAGAGAAAGGGGGTAAATTTGGCAAAGAATTCAAATTTCTTAAATGCAGAGAGAGATGTCTAAAAATTCATACTGTAGATTCAGTTGTAATCTTTTGGGAAAGGAGTTAAAGTTTCTTTGAATGTCCTTGCACTTTCAGAGTTTAGAACACTAGTGAATAATTGGAGGGTTTTTTAACTTGGGACATGATTGTGCTAAACTTTCAAGATCTTATTTCAATCCTAAAATAAAAACTTTTTTTTCTTTTAAGGGTGAAAGTTTGCACCAAGACAGATGGAACAGTTAATATTCATCCTAAATCGGTTAATGTGGAAGAAACAGAGTTCCATTATAACTGGCTTGTGTACCATTTGAAGATGAGAACTAGCACTGTATGTGAAGGTTTATATTTGTGTAATTTATTTTTGTAGCTCTTTAATAACATTGGATCAAGGTTCAAAGGGGATGTGAACAGTGCCTTTGTTTGAAGCCTCCCTGTCTTGGGTTATTTCTTTTATGTGCCGTCAGATTATGTTCTTTGTGGTACTGGTGGTATTGTTCCACAAATAACTAATACACTAACTTCTGGTTTTTTGGTTGTTTGGTTTTTTGGGTTTTTAATTTTTCTTTTTTCAAAGGTTCTGGCAATGACAGGTGTAATTATTTTTTTTTTATTACTTTTCTTTGATCCAGTGTAGTACTTTTGAATATGCTGAAAAAAATTTTTTTTTTCCTCTGATTGTTATAGAGTAGTTGGTTTGATTTCACCTCTTTGTGTGAAGGAGTGTATTTGGGACCATTTTTGCTCCTGTTTATCTGATTTCATGTAACTTTTCCAACTGAGTTGCTTCAGATATGTCTTGCAAATTTATGAATGACTCCGAATAATGATCTTCTGGAATTCTGTTACGAGTTTCATTAAGGGTTACTGATGTCACTTAAGATGTTTTGAAGGGTGATTGGACAATTTTGTCGTCTTGCAGATTTACTTGTACGATTGTACAGAGGTGTCTCCATACTGTCTCTTGTTCTTCGGAGGAGATATATCCATTCAGAAGGATAAAGATCAGGATACCATCGCTGTGGATGAATGGATTGTTTTCCAGTCTCCGGCAAGAATAGCGCACTTAGTTAAGGTGACTATGTTTAATAATAATGTATATGGAAGACTTAGTGTAACACTGCTTCTTCTTAGAGATTTCTGTATTTTACATTACTGTGTACCTGCTGATTTATCGCTGTGGGGAGATAATAATGTTCTAAATGTATTCCCAGTAAGCAGTTCAAGTACACAAAGTAAACGAGATCTACTGAAGGCGTGTAGATGAATGCAAGTTAAAACGCAGTAGTAAAAATAACATTCTGAGCAGTCTGTATCGCATGGTAAGCGGGGCAGAAGTGAACAGTAGCGTGCTCCCTTGTGTTTGGCCTTAGGAGCAGGCAGTCAGACTTTTTGTTTGTTTGTTTGTTTCCAGTGTAATAGTTTGACTAATGAGAGTGAGGCTGTGTGCCTACTGAGGCATCGGCAATATGGTGGTGATGTTCTTGTTCAGCTGGTGCAGCCTCTGCTGAAAAGTTCATAATGATATTGAAAAACTGTAGAAGCTTCAGAGAAGAGTCATAGGGTGGATTTAAAGGATTTGTAAACGTGTCTTACAGTGAGAGATTTGAAGAGCTTAATAGCTGTGGTTTTCCATAGCAAAAGCTGTAGGATGACTTGATCAGTCCATGACATGTCCACGTGGATACAGAAACATGAGGATGGGGCTCTTTAGCTTAGCAGTAGTAAGTGCCGGTGGAAGGAGGAGCTGAATAGAGCTCTGTTTAATATTAGATCCTAGAAATCATACCTGACTCTTTTTTTAACCCAAATATTTTTAATCCTGCAATAGTCAGCTAATGGATGTATAGGCTGTTAAAGGCCATCACATCCAGAGATGGTCATCTGCCATAAAAAGTAAAACTGCTAGTTTTTGAGAAGCAGCTTTTGATCCTGAAAATAGCAATGTTGAAATGAATTGACAGGAGAAGAGCAGGTGTAAAGATTAGGAGAACAGAGGCCCCAAGGGCTTTGAACTTACTGTAGTAATGTTGTTGTGTGTAGCTCTAATTGCCTGTCTCTCTTCTTTTCTCTTTTTCCCCCCCCCTTCATTCCAACAAACTCTTTCTTTCTCTTCCCCCCCCCCCTTCATTCCAACAAACTCTTTCTAGAATTTAAGACAAGAGCTTGATGATCTTCTACAAGAAAAAATAGAAAACCCACATCCCGTGGACTGGAATGATATTAAATCCAGGGATACAGCAGTACTGACAGCTATTATAGACTTAATCACAACACAGGAGAATGAAACTGCCAAAAACTATGCTCCACGATTCCAGAGTGAACGCTATAGTTGACACACTTTCATCTGTATCGATAAAGCCAACATATTCACCTTTTTGTTTTGTTTTTTATAGCATTTATTTAGCTAAAGGAAAAACTTTTTTAGGGTAAGCTGCTAATTCCCTCATACTGAAGAGCAGTTATTTCAAAATAGTTGGTAATATCTGTATATGCATGGTATTCTGTGTTCAGCGTAGCTTTTTAAGTAAGAGAAAATGCAATGCTAGCAATGTTAGTTGATGCATGGTTCTTGTCCTGCTGTAGCTTTTTTTTTTTACCCATCAGGTAATGGACAGATATTCAAAAAAACTTGCTAAAATACTGCTTAATAATACTTAAACTGTTCTTGCTACTGGTAAAAACATCTCAAAAGACTTTTTTTTTTTTATTGGGGGTAATTATACTTACTGTGTTATTCCAGCTGTGCAGCAGGCTTCTTGCCAACACTTCCACAGAAGGTAATTATAGCTTAATTAAACTAAACTTGAAAACACTTGTTAAATTTGTACTGTGGGAGGAAACAATCTTCAGAAATATTCTGTTCTTCTGCCTTTCATTCCATTCAGTTAATCTTTCTTCACTTTCTGTGCCCATCCGTCATCACTGCTGACTAAAATTTGACTACAAGAAACATGCTTAGATAAAAGTCATGGTGGAATACACTTTAAGGTTTCATTGCATTCTGATTTTTCTTTTTTTAAAACAGTCCATGTATGGGTTATAGTATTACATTAAAAGTCTTTTCTTTAAAGTGTTATTTCATCTGTTCTTAGTCCTTAATGTTTTGAACGTCATTCTATTTTGAATGCTTCCAACTATGTAAGAACATCTGAATAACAAGGCTTGAGTTTAGGATTTTGAGTAGGGTGACTTGTTTGAGAAATACTGTTCTGATCAAACTCGTGTAAGGGTGGCAGACCTGCTGTTTCCTTTAAATGCTGGGGGCTGGGTTTGGGGTTGGGCAGTGTTCCCCCCACTGCTGGGGAGAGCTAAAACTGAGGATGGGTGTTTAACTAGGCACTGAAAAGTGCTGGCAGTTTACTTGGCAGCCCTCTGTTACCAGCACTTTGCAGCCGTAGCTACGGTTATTCCTAGGTTTATCCTTGGGGAACAAAGCTCTTGCCTCTCATTTTGTTTGCCTGGAAATATAACCCCTTCTCCCTTCTTGGGGTTTGGTTCATTTTTGTTTCTTTTGCTTTGCAAAAATGACCTTGACCACCATGCTCGGGAGGATTTATGAGCCTTATCCTGAAGAAAACAAAACTGTTTTTGGGGGTTTTTTTGGTACAGAAATAAGTCTAACTTAGTGACTTGACTGTGCTTTCCATTGGGTTAACAAGGAGTGGAGGATGCCAAGCTCATCACTTCTACAACACAGCTGCGAAAAACATATAGTTCAACCTCCCTCCCCCCAATCAGTTTATTATTCTACCCCCAGGTGCTGAGGCTGGTGTTTCAAACAGTGAGGGAGGAGAAGGAGGAACATCCTGCCCTGGCCTGGGGGTGGTGGATGCAGGAGGCAGTTTAAAAGGAAAATGGGAGCCCCTGTGGCTCAGGGGAGGGGAGTGCTGGGCCCTGGTGCTCCCCTCCCTGGAGCTGCCTGCAGTTGTGTGGGGAAGAGGAGGGCTGTGGGGACCTGCTGGAGGCCTCCAGGAGCTCGGGGGCAGGTAAGCATGGCAGGCGGCTGGTCCATCTGCCTCAGGGTGGTGAGCTCCTCTGAGGGCCTTGCTGCAGGCTGTACCACACAACTGATGGTGAGCGGACATCTGAGGAGGCAGGAGCGCAGGGTGCCACGGCACTGCTGAAGGTGAGCCCTGGGATGGATCAAAGGGGAAAAAGGAAATTAAATTAGTGATAACGTGTATGGAAATGGAAATGAAACAATTTGACTGTGGTGCTGTACCTCAGGCTCCTGGCCTTGGAAACACAGGGTGTCGCACTGGGACAGGTGCAACTGATTGATATAGGAGGAAGCAAGATGGTGCCCAGAGCAGAGAAAGGAGCTGTGTTTCTGGGGCCAGTTGTACCTGTCTGCTCAGTGTTAAGGCAGAGGGGTGTGCGATGGCAGGGGCAGTTACCACCCAAAGTAGGGTGGGCTGCTCCACATTACAAGTTTGTAGGTTCTTGATGAAGAACTGGCAGTAGCACTGCTACTGGCAGGGTTGGATTAAAAGGCATGGGGGAAAAAAAAAAAAAGGCTGGCAGGTGGCACCAGTTTTACTCTCCTTGTTCTTGGTTTTTGCAGTACTTGAAAGAAACGATGGCTAAATTTCTACTTAAGAACACAAAGGGCAAAAAAGAAATGGTAGCAATAGCAGAATCTCTGTAAGAATAGCAGTGTTGGTTGAACAAATCAAAGACAGACAGCAGTTCTCACACACCCCACCCCTGGCCCCCAAATTGTGGAGGATCAGGATCAGACTGGTATTAGGACCACCACCAGAAGAAATGCACACTGAGGGAGGGGGTCATGGGTTGGTATGATCAGAGCTTTACTTATAAAGTAATGTGACTAATGTGTAAATAATGGTATTAGCTATACTTTCCCAACTGTGCTTAAAGCATGTAGCTTAACATACTTTAAGCAGAGAAGTATCAAAAACCTGTGTTCTTTGGCGTTTGACAGCCTTTTCCCAGTGTTGGGTGTACTGGTTTTGGCTGGGATAGAGTTAACTTTCCTCACAGTAGTGTGTATGGTGCTGTGTTTTGAATTTGTAAACAGTGTTGATAGCACAGGGGTATTTCAGGTATTGCCGAGCAGTGCCTGTGCTTACATTCTTGACTGTTGTCCTATCTCCCTCTCCTGCTACAGTCTCTAACTGAGACAAGACGCTCTCCTAGGCCTGCATCTTATGCCATTGCTCCAGGTTCACGGGTGCACGTGTAAATTGGATCTATGACAGATGAAGTAGGACACGTGGTGGTGCTATTTATCTTCACAGCACAGAAAATTTAAGATGCCACAGGCTGCAGAGCAGATTTAATTTCTTTGACAAGAATGACATTAAGAAATACTGTTAAACTGCAAGTTGTTAAGGAAAAACTGAAGCTTTTTTTAGTAAGGATTTAAAAGCATTTTATTGATTGTTGTCCTATAAAATCGTGGAAGTCTCTAATTCCTGAAGACCTGTGTCTGACAATAAGAAAAATGAAAAATGTCTTTAAAAAACATTACAGCATTTTTGGAAAAACTAGGTATGAAAAATATATACAATGTATTAAAAAAATCTGAATAACATTAATCTCTGGATTTATACATTCAGTTATGTGTTAAACATCTGCCTGTGTACAATAAAATTTGTTAAAATATTAGCAGGTTTTTTACTACGTTAAATAAGTCTTTGTTCAATTTACAGTTTATCTCATTACTATTTTATCAGTCCACTTAAATTAATTTACAAGGCTGTATAACCACTGTCAGACTGTCAAGGTAAACATTTTTGTACAAAATTATTGCCTTCCTAATATATTTGAAATTGTTACAGAGATACATATTTATAAACATCCAATCCATTCACAAATCAAATCAACATATTACAGTATATAAAATAACATACAGCCCCTTTAAAAAAGATAGGGAATGCAACAAGAAGAAAGCCTTTGTACTACAAGTTTTTCTCTCATTTTCATTGAACATGTATTCTACCCTGCTGAGTTATCAGCTGGTCCTTAAAAAGGTGAAGATTTTTATACAGACTGTCAGACCTATATACAGAAAAGATGCACTTAATGTATTTCGGTTTTGAGTGTATTTTGTTCACACAACATTGGTTGTTGGGGTTTTTTTCTGTGAAATTCCAAAGCTAAACTGCAGATGCAAAAATTTAGCAGGTGTTGTGTGTAGTGCAATTGTGAGAAGTCTTCTCTAAAGCAGAGAAGAGCGTGTGTGAAGCAGCACCAATGCGAGCTCCTCTAAAAGCAAGGTCCGAGTACTATTTTATCACTCACTCTCCCTCCCTATCTCTGCCTGAAGCATCCAATGACATCAAGTCACACTGCAGCAGGGGAAGGCAAAGGTAACAAAATACCAAGTTAATCAAGGTCCTGAGCGATCTGCTTCCAAGCCTTTCCTCAGTGGTTGGCTTACCATTTATATACACTGGAGACGAGAAGACCTCTACAGATCTGTCTTCTCCCACTCTTTTTGCCTGTGGACTCAACACGATACTAACAAATGCTAAAGATGTAGGTAAACTGAAGTTCAGTTCAGGAAATAACCTCCTCTAGTACAGAAGAACAGAAAGACCAAAAGACAAAAAACCCAAAACAAACACCCCAAACCTAGAACGAAGTATTTCATGTTTTCTGCAGTCCCCATCAAAAAACCCTTGCTCTGAAGCAGTAGCTTAATATGACGACCTAGTTAAGCACATGGGAAAAACTGAAACAAAACGGACACATTTCCAGCAGTTATACTCCTCTAAAATACCTGTGCTAAAATGGATCTGAGAACTAGATAATCAACATTATGTATTTTGCAGAGTACGGTACCTCTTTCTTGCTTTCAGAAATCCTTTCAACACTGCAGCGCTAGAAGGAGAAAAAGTCCGAGCTGCCTGAATAACACACTCTGTTAAAGACCACCACACCACTGGAGGCACTTTAGATTCTTCCCTGGAGCTTGTGTCAGCTTTGCCAACATTGCTTAGAGTGACCTAATTACTTCTTACAAAGCCTGGGACATCCCTGGATTCATGCTGGAGAGGTAGTCCTTTATGAATTATAGGGCTGGTTAGTGTAGTTCAGGTTACACACAGATTTTGACACAACTGGGAAGTATCCCATTAACATACTCTCTGGTACTGAGAATGTAACGCTGCCGTTTCTTAGGAATGGGAAACCCCCAATATTGCTATTCACCTCCAGCTCAATGGATTGGGTGGGTTTCTGGTGTTCAGTCTCCTACACAGACTGCTACACAGAGTTCTGCTTCTGAAAGACAGTAAAAAATGCTCAAAAACGGATGGAGAAAGAATACGTAAAGAGGCAGGGATGGAGGAACTAAAGTTGAAACTGAAAATTGAGTCAAAGAGACACATGGCTGATGTCCAGTGCCTAAGAAACTACTTCTGGTTGAAATCTGCTACTGGTCAAGCCCAGGTTTCATTTCAGAGCGCTCAAAATGCAAAACAAAAAGGGATGAGTATCCAAAACATCAGTGCTCTGTTACTAGATTTTTCGCATTGGTGACCCACATCTTCCACGTGAGAGCTGTAGGACATGCAACCATGCCCCCACCGACTGCAGTTAGTGCAAATCCTGTAGCATAGCATGAAGAAGCAAAAACAGTCTACACATTGGTTTCAAGTCCAAGTAAGCGTCCCATCCGTTCCATGTTTTTGTCAATCGTGGCACGACACGTGATTTCTTTAGCACACTCCATGGGAAACCAACCTCTTTCGCCATCCCGCAATCGCTCCCCTTCATACCAACCTGCAAGGGTGAACGGACAAGGAGTAACAAACCTTTTCAGGTAATGTTCAAGATACTCTGTCAGAACTGTGTGTGTTGCACTTGACACAGCCATCGCATACATTATACTTCTACCTTGGTAGTGAATAAAGTACCAGATTAAGATAGGTTCAGCAGATACTTTTTTTTGTACGGACAGACTAGGAACAAAATAGTACATAAAAGTAAGTATTATATGAAACCAGTATAATACATTTTTATATTGTAATTCAAATATATTGTTTGAAATAATATAAAGAGTATAATATAATTGCAATCTAAAGAAAGCAATGCAGCACAACCA